TATTTAAAATGTGTGATCAATTGAAATATCAACTCCTTTAAAAATAGAAGTAATTAAATATTATCTGAAGCTAGTAATAATGCTCAGAAATTACATACCTGGAGTCTCGACAAGATAAAAAAAAATGTAATAGAACAGGATCGCTAAACTGTGTTTATTTGCCTAATCATATGTACTCAAGCAAGGTAAAACGGCATATTTTAGAAAAGAGAAGTAAAATCCAGTATTGAAAAGCTGAGAGGGAATATCTGCTTTTCAGAGGAACAGACATGAATCTGTATCATTCTTCTACTTCCCAGCTTTATGTTACTGTTTGGCTTGATGCGCTTCTCTCTGTCCCTTTTGTCTAGTGTATTTGAAATGTATTTGCTTATTTTCCTAATAAGTTTCTGCTGTATTTACATTACTTTGCTTTAAAAGTACATTTTTAGGGATAGTATTTCTCCATGCTCTTCCTTTCCCACCCTTCCCCCTTAATAATTCCCCTGGACCTCTGTTGCTTGGAGCAGACTTTGGCTAGCCCCAGATTCGATGTCAAAGGCCATGACCCGATGTCAGAGCAGCCCATGCTGCTGGCCTCTTCTTTGAATAATTATCTGGAGTTTATTGTGTTGAAGGGAGGGGCTTGGGGGCAGCGCAGTCACCCTGGCAAACCAGACCAATGAGCTATCCAGCCAGACCACTACCCAACAATGGACCTGTAGGTTACGCAAAAAAATCCAGCAGCACAAAAGATTAAATTAAAAATGGACATTTGGCCACAGAAGTTTTGTCCTTAGAACAACCATTTTTTCAGCCTTCTGAGTGTAGTGCAGTTTTGATAATTTTTTCCTTTCCATTAAAGTTATTATTTAAAATTTTGTATGTAAACTGGAATAAAACAGAAATATTTTTCTTATCCCCTTCCCCAACTGTTAGAATTGCCATATTCAATGTTATTTCTAGGTTTCTAGTTACAGAGCTTGACTCAGAACATTAAGACATTGAGCTTTTTTGGCTTTTTCTCTAGAAATTCTGTGCAATCCTAATTATTTTAGAAGCAAGAACAAAGTCCCCAACACTTCTATTTCTATCAATATCTTCCTTTTAAAGTGCTGAGAATGGGGATGTTCAAAACAGGTATGAAAGTATGTTCAATTTCCAGACTTAATGAATCAACAGTAAATGATAGTAAACCGTCCATTTTCTTTGGGCTTCCTTATCTTTTTCTCTCCCCAAAGAGGATTTAAAAAGTCTGAAATCCAGATTGTGGAGTGCTGTCTCTTCTTATCAGGACTGAATGAAAGGCTGCTGGAGGTGGACTCACTGTTCTGGAGGGATGGGGGGGGGGAAAGTTCTTTCATGGTCTGACCTCAGATTCTTTCTTAATTTTATCTAGCCCTGACCTGTTGGCTCTGCTCTGGCTCCTTTCAAGGCCTTCGGAGCTTCACAAACATGCAGCAGCTGAAGGAAACAATGACAGGGCTTTTAGGGGTTGCAATACTACACTCTCTTGTAACCTTGGCTAAGTAGCCTGTAAACAGATGCTTTCTATGAAGCATTTGCCAGAAAGCCTAAATTTTGGCTGTGTTGATATCAGCAAACACAGCCCTAACAGTCTTGATTTAGGCCTCTTCACTGGGTATTCAACATAAGCTTCAGATGACTGAACAGTTACCCAGAGCGTGTTATGTGTACGATGTCATACATACTGTGAAACCTGCTGTTACAGGTTTTATACTTAACTTCAATGCTACGTATTTACCCAGAATAGGAAAATTCTGAATGGAATAAATGCAGTTTGGTCTTTTGCAGAAAACTGATTTGAAGATAGTGTTAAAATGTAATCAGGACATTTGCATTTCTATGTATTCTTTTGAGAAGGAAGGATGGAATTATATATGGATTAGGATTTTTCATTGGCTGTGTTGTTAGTGTCATGCTGCTTTAAGCTTAGAGGGTTTTAACTGTGTAATAGGATGTATTGAGAATGGAATTTTTGTTCCATTGTGAATATGGAAGTGACTTTATTGTTCTTAGTAACTTTTAGGAAAAGTTCAGTCTGTGCAATCTTGGTAATTTAAGAATGAGGTAGTTGCATTAAAAAATACTTCACCAGCTGCAAAATGATTAGAAGCACATTTTTCTTGTTTAACTGCTAATACAGGCATTTAATCTTTGATGCCTCTAGTTTTTCCAGCTGTGTTCATTGGAAGTGCATGAGGACACCATCTGGCAGTAATGAGGTATAACTCTACCAGATGCAACTAACCCATGTTGGTTGGAGAGATGTTCCTTCTCTGCATGTCACCTTTATCACTAGGAAAGTGTCTTCAAAACAGAGGACTTCCCACCCCGCCTTTCCTCCAAGTAATGGTAGCTGCTACAGCAGCCATCCCAGAAAAACCTAAGTCTTCAGTGGATGTATTTCAGAGGCCAGTAAGGGTCAGCAGAAGCACCATTTATTCTATTGTAGAACAATGCCAGATTGTTTTAATAGTTTTTGTGTATTTGTGTCAATGTTTTAGAAGAACTGAAGAAATAAGTTTGAGACACTAACCTAGTAGAATTCACCAACATACACTAAAACTAGTTCTGGTATGAGAAGATATCAGTCCTATAGTTGCTTTTGCCTACCATCGCATATGTGTCTACTTAGACCAATTATATTTTCATAAGCTTTGAAAACTGGGGTCTGTATGTTTAATCCATGTTTAACTGATAAGTATATATAATTTTAACATATTAAAGTGGGGATGTTCCAATGAACTGTAGAGCAATAGAATTACTAATAAATCAAGTCTCAAATCTTCATGATATTTTTTCAGTTTCTCTGTTTCTTTCATCTAGACAGATAAGCAGCTGTGGTTCTCCCTCTGTGCTGGGAAATTAAATGACTTGTCGCAAAAACAGGGTTGGAACATCTGAGTGCAGTGTAGTATTTTTCTTGAAGAATCTTTTTTTACAGCCTCAACACCAGTAACTGCTATGAGCTTCTTACCTGCTTTCTGAGAAGCTAAGCATAATTTCTAAGATTATATTTCAGGGATGTAGTAAGACAGTAAAATAGACAAGTAAATCATTGTCATCCAAACTCTTACCAAGCTTCAGCTACTGTAATGTTTAATGCTTTTTCTGAGTTAAAATCCATGTTTTAAATGATAGTTCAATTTAATTTTTCAGCTCACACTTGCAGTATTTAGCTTTGCCATAGTTCTACTATAAGGTGTAGAACGTATTCATAGACTTGCAAAACAAAGAGAAGACTCCCCCATGTGTCTTGCTGCTGAAAGACCTATCAGAGTTGAATCTGCAGGGCTCATTGCAGATTTTTATGGGAGAATGAATGACAGGATATGAGATTCCAGAGGAGTATCACCAGAGACCAGTGATCTATCTACAAAAGCTGCCATAGGAAAAAGAAGCTGATCTTACATAAATTGTAAAACAGTGATTTTTGGGACAGTATCTATTTGATAAATTGAAACTAATCAATATAAGGCATATTTAACTTTTTCTTACTCTTATTTTAAAGGAGTATTATTACCAGAGGCGAAATTTATGCCTCTGGTTGGACTATTATTCATGTGTTTTTAACACTGACAGGTTTTGGTTATATAAAAAGGATGTGTAAGACAGATCCATTTCACTGTGTGAAGCTATGCCAATTTATCACATCCAGCCTATAATGTCTTTTAAGACAGTCTCTGTGTAGTCCAGAGGCACTCTTGTAATAAAATCTATGAGTTGGCTCTAGCATGTTTCTATCAACATTAGTGTGGCATCTTGATTTGTACAAACAATGCAGTTTTTGCATCCTTTTCATGAGCTGATTTAAGTAATAACAATAAAAATGCCTATTTAAAAGCTGTAGGTTCTGTGACAATTAATTTTACAACAACCTAATGCCAGCAGCACTAAAAAACCTGAACCAAATCATATTCAACAGAAACAACTGGCTGAATTTTTTAAAGTTAAATAGGCTACAAAATTGTTCCTGTTCACCTTAGGTCTGGGAACAAGCTTTCCACCACTACACAAATGTTGGCAATTGCAAGTGCAAGAGAATTAATTGAAATTACTCAGTGTTACCAGCTGTCCAGAGAAATTTTGAAAATGCAGAGGTGAAATCTTGATTTGAGTTTTTTTGTTTATTTAAACTAAATTTATGTGTTGAATGGGTTGAATAAATCACTGCACCTAATTTGGTTTTGAATAGCAGTGTTCTCTGGAAAAATGCATTACTTCTGGGTCTGTTATGAGCATGACTGATGGCCTCCGTACTCACTTCCCTGTTTTCTGAGCTTCTCAAGCCTCCTGTTGCTGTGTAATGTGCATGGATGGCATACACTAAATTTGAGACTGTCAGCCCCCCAGGTGGCCATGCTATCCACAATCTTTTATCAATGATTTATGTGTAAACTGTTCAGGATACCTATGCTGGTTAAAGATGAGAAAGCTCCTGAAGTTTTTCTCTCTAAGGGTATGTCTGGCTTTGAATGTTTGATCCAGCTGATGAACTGCTAGATGAAAGTGTTTATGCCAAGTTGTACTGGGATTGCCATTGAGAAGTAAATCATACAATAAGCCTGTAAATTAAACTAAAAATTGTTTAAAATATTCTAAACAGTGACTACTTCAGACAAAAAAGTATTTTTCACCACTTCATAAAACAAATAGTGTGCAAGTATCTCTCTTGGAACTGGAGGTGGATCTTTGGTTGTTGGTTGTCTTGTTTTGCATATGGTAAAGCTGTGAGCAACATGGAACAGCATCTCAGCAGGTGCTGTGAATTAGTCTTTGCTAAAGTTATACATGTAATCTATGAAGGAAGTTTCACACCAATTTTTTTGCTGTTCAGTACACTGTCTTTAAAATTCTTTTATATTCTCCTTTTTAGATTACTATAACATTTAGGCTTTACTGGGCTGGTATGTAATGCAGCCCTCCCCAGTTGCTGTTTCAATTACAGATACCAGCAGATGTTTTTCAACCATAGAAGCAGTAATGTGTGACAGTTTAAAAATTCTGACACTGCTTTTGGATTGAACTAGTCTTGCTACCAATTGAACCATGATGTCCTGCAGTGGAAACAACCTTGGGTTTTAGATAGTAGAGACTAGTTGAGAGACTTTATTTTTAAACAGGCCCTTCTATATGAAGACGATTCTTTTTGAAACTACTTGCATTATACAGGAGTAAGAGGAATGGTATTCAATATAGTGCTTTTTCTAAATGTAGAGCATTAAAGACACTTTAAGGTGAAAAGAATGTGTTTTTCTCAAATACGTTTGATTTTTTTTTGATGGAAGTTACATTTCTGCCTTTCTTCCCCATCCCATTATTCTTCCTTCCCCCTCCTCCATCAAGTGTTAATGAGGAATTCAGGTTGGGTGGGTTTTTTGGTTTTTGTTTTTTTGTTTTATATAAAAAAAGGCAATGAGGATAAACAGACCTCACAGGCTCCTCATTCAGCTCAGCAGGGCACTAGACCTTAGTTATTCTTCATTTCACAGTGAAGATGATCAGTTCTGGGTGACCACTTTCAAAGGGCACAGAGTTTTTGAAGGTGCTCGGCAGGATGATAAATTGTGTCTGTCATTCCTGTGTCTTGCGGAAATGCAGCAGGGGTCTCTTCTGCAGGAACTTGTAAAGAAAGATGGACTGTGACACTTGGCTGGCTGGATGCCGCCTGTTTGTGTGGAATCTGTTCAAGGGTCTCCTAAATAGTACCGGAATGCAAGTTTTTTCTAAGAATGGATGGAAGAATTGATCATTGTAACAACCTCCAAAGCATAATATTAAAGCTGTCTTGGTGTTCTCTTTGTTTCTTTGTTTTTGAATATTTCAGTTACATGCTAAATATATGTATTCCTACCACAAGTCAAGCAGCCTAGGAAGTTATATATTTCGGCTTTTCTGAGATGCATGCTGTAATTCACCTCAAGAAGTCACCATAACTTGATTTTGGTGTATTCATATCACTTGGTACTTTTCAAGTGCACGTATCTTTTTGGCTGGGCTCAGTGTTTTAAAACGCAGCTTCCCTTCATGTGTCTTTTGGTTTTCACAAATTTTTAAGAGATTATAATGATTTATATATAATGTCTTACTATCTTTCTGAATTTTCAGTATTAAAATTCCATGTTTTCTTTTACCGCATGCTTAAGGTTATTCTGTGTGTTTGTGTCCATCTCCTTTTCTTTGATTGGAGTTTGTTGGCTAGGAACAACTGATGTCATCTGTTGCTCAAGTGATACTGTAGAGTGAAAAAAACCTACAAAACAAATGAGAAATTAAGTTAAAAAACCTATTTTTTTGACATTTTATTTATATTGTCTACTTGTAAAGTGTGTGTTAAAGTCTGTTTGAAAAATGGGAATGGTATCCTCTTGACTATTCTACCATTAGTGTTAAACACATTAAAGAAATACTTCAAATTTAAAAGCCCCTTTTCTTTCACACCTATATTTAGATTTTGGTTTAATAGTCTTTAAAAATAAACATATTTAGAGATGTAAACTCTACCTAGCAATATCTCATTTAAAGCTGATGTAACTACAGCACAAAAAGATTATCGATTTCAAAATAAATATGAAAATATTTTATGAATGCATTATTATGAAATTACCACGCTGTCTTTACGGAAACATTGAATCGAGTTGTTAAGATTGTATTGCTGGTGCAGAGACTGCAGAGGGAGCTAACGGTCTAATGTTAACAACTGTCCTATTCACGAAGAAATGTCAGGGATTTGTGTTCCTGTTTATTTCGTGGGAGAGACTATGTCAAATCTCAGCTAAAATTAGAAAGAGTAGAGCTTATTTTGAGAAGGGATAATATTATGGTGTTTTAGGGCAAGAAAAGAAGAAATAAACAGGAGCAGCACAGTTGTGTAACATCTGAACCTTCTGAAGCTCATAAGAGAAAGAAATAAGTTCATGACAATAGAAGAGGAGAATGTCCTAATACCTACATCAGTACTGGGGTGAAGAAGAGCTCATCTGTACTAATAGCAAACACTACCACCTTGCAAATCATCACTGCATGGAAGGGATTTGTTGCAAATGCCATTGTAAGGGAGCAGGCTGCAGAGAAGTAGGGTGGCCGTCCTGGTGGTTTGTACTCCTAACTGCCTCTGGGTACCCCACGGCATCTCCACTTACAGAAAACTCAAGGCCCCTTTCTAACTCATTTCTCTGTAGTAATTTTTCACTTGGATCAAGGCCAGTGTACCATTAACAGAACTGAGAGAAGCAGCAAACTGCAATATGGGTACCCAAAGACATGGCCAGAGAAAGAGAAATAAGGAGACACTTCAAGCTAGGAACAGTGATCCTCTAAGAATGCCAGAACCAGCTTTGAAAAAAACACATGTAAGAGGAAGTTCTTAGTCAGAGGCATTATTAACAATCACTGTTGTTTCATAGAACATCTCTGCTTAGAACCTGGAACCAAAACATTTCCCATCTCTTTGCTGGGTCCTGTCGTCTTGCATTTGCTTTGATTGCCCTGCTTCATTACAGCCTGCTTATCCAGAAATAAATGTTGGTTTCTGTGGACCTCATGCCGTTTTAACAAATAATTATTAAAGACTGAAAATGCTTTCAATATGCTGAATCATACTATTAAATCTAGCTCTGTAGCTGTGAAGGTGTGATTTTGTTATAGATAGAAATGTCATATTTATCCTACTTCCACTGATTTCTGTTACAAACTTAGTGTCTTAGGCTGTCAGAAGCAAGACTGAGAGATAAGTGACTGATTCTGGGCAAAGATTCAGAGAAATTCACAGAGCTGGAGAAAAGATGGGCTTCCAGGCATCCAGCCTGTTCATCGGTCTGCTGACTGTAGCAGACAAGTTTTGAACCAAACTTGCAGGAGAATCAAGCTATGTCACTATCTGTGGAAGTCTGAAAATCCTTATTTTTTTACTTGAGTCTAATTATTCCTTTTCTCTTTGTGCAGACCCTAGAAGAAAGTATCATGTAAGGCTGCTGGCATATAACAGTATGGAAGAAGGTTATCAGGCAGACCAAACAGTCAGCACTCCAGGATGTGTCTGTAAGTATTGTAGGTGCATGAAGAATTTAAGAGCTGAGCTGTTTCAATGTCCCAGCAACTCTGTGTTTTTAACCTATAAATAATCAATTAATTCAGTGTAAAACAGAGAACCAGAAAGATTATATCTGTGACAAATACTATCCTAGTCATCCTGCAACTGAGACCTGTGTTCATGAACTACAGCTGAGGAAACAAGATAGCTACCAAGCATGTCTTCCTCCCTTGTTGGATTGTCTGCATCATCTAACCAGTGATGTATCATATAACATATGAGAGGTTTATCTCTGTTTATGGTTTTGATTTTGGTTTTGATTAAACAAATGAGACTACAGGAGTACATGTATTGGGTTAGGAGGGGTCTTTAATGGCTTGAACCATTAAAGCCATTAAACCAGATTCCTGGGTCTGAATACTAGGTAATTCTGTGCAGGGGCAGATCTAAACCTGTGGGCTCAGACCTGTCTCTTAATCTTACCAGTATCTGTATACAGCTCATTAAATAATTCATGCTACTTTTTTGTTTTAAACAGCTGTCCGTGATCGCATGGTGCCACCACCACCACCTCCTCACCACCTTTATGCCAAAGCTAATACTTCATCTTCTATCTACCTTCACTGGGGAAAGCCTGCCTTTACATCTGCACAAGTCATTAACTACACAATCCGCTGCAACCCAGTAGGGCTGCAGAATGCTTCTCTGGTTCTCTACCTTCAAACGTAAGTGCAGTGCTACTAATGAGTCTTGGTTTCCCATTTCCAGATCCTTCCTACTCAGTTTCTGCTCCTTCTGCCCTCTCTTAATAGCCTTTTAGTGTAACAACTTCTGTCTCCCTTAGAGGACTGTGTGTTTTGCCCAGTGGCTGCTAGGTCTGTTTCTTAGGTTAAGATATATTTGTAGAACAGCTTAATTCTCTACCTGTGATCCTTGTGTTGGATCCCTGGATGAGCTCTAGAATTTTTAATGGCTTTTTAGTTGTCTAAGTTGAATTTAATTTTAAGCTCTTCATCAACCAAACGGAATTGAATACTTATTTTATAGGTAGTTTGTCTAGTCAAAGATGGGACTTAGTCCAGCGTCTGATTTTAAGACTGGAAAAAAGAATTTTTGAATTTTGAGGGGCTGAGCATATTATTGTGGGAATGCCGTGTTCTTAAGTGTGTGGCACCCTGCCAGGAGAAAGGCTAGTAGGAGCTACAGCTTGCTTTTCAGAGAAGCAATGCATGAGCCACAGAATGGCAGAACAGGGAAGAAATTCTGCCCCAGCTTGGTGTCCAGCTCTCTGCCCAGGTGGTATGGGAGCAGAAGATTTTGCTACATAGTGACTGCCTATGCTGGGGGCCATGGTGCTGTTGAGGGATTCTGTGTGTGTTGCTCCTTCAATACCTGGGTTTACTGAAGCCGTCTAAATAAGAAAAATGCTATCTTAAAAGATAGTTCCTATCCTAATATTGATGTTTTTTTCTTCAAAGAACACATCCCCTGCTGTATAACTCCTGACTTAACGATTTGACACAGTATAATCACCATGTAAAATTCTTAGTGTGCAATATGGAGCATAGCAATGAATGCTGCTTTTTGTGATGAGGCTGTTGCAAGTACTGGTGACTGCATTTGCAGCATGGAAGGTGAAAATACTCAATGAGATTTAATAAAGTAATATTTGTAGACTAACACCATTTAAAATTGAGATTTAATCTTGATTTCAGTATTATCACTTGGAATTAACCCCTGTGTATATGAAAGATTTCCCCCGGTTTGCAGAATAAAAATAAAGCAGCATGTCTACAGATGACTTTGTGATCAAATAACAGACTGCAGTTTTACAATTAATATAATACATTTTCCAATTAATAAATTACCAAATATAACTACAAGATGAGTAGAGAACATTCACATTCTACAGAGATCCTCCAAACGTGAGGTGCTAGAGGCCATAAGTGGAAGGGGAAGTTGCACACGTAGCCTATGTCTGTTCTGGGAATGGAGACGCAGATCCAGGAATAACTGGTGGAACCAACAGCATGTACCTTTTCAGCAGTGGTGGTGGTTGTAGTTTAAGTGTTAAGCCAGCTTGAAGCATAATGTCCTGTGGACAAAAGTGGAAAGTGAGTTTGGGATTCCCACTGGTGATCTGGAAAATAATATTCTTGGACTTGCTTGTGCATCAGCTGTCCAAACAATCCTTGTGAAATCCTGAACTCAAGTCAACTGACAGCAGATGTAATATCTTCCAGGGAGCTCTGGGGTTAGTACAATTATATTTTCAGGTAGACAGCGCAGATGGACCACGTGTCTGGTCTTTAACTGGTTTGTCTTGTGTTGAACTGACAGTGTGAATCTACTCACAGTGACTAAGAGGTATCATTTGAGTTTGGGATCTCCAAGTCCACTGCTGTTGTAAAATTTAATTTATTCTTTCATCTGTATAGGTCAGAGACTCACATGTTAGTTCAAGGTCTTGAGCCAAAAACTATGTATGAATTTGCAGTTAGGCTGCATGTGGACCAGCTATCCAGTCCCTGGAGTCCAGTAGTCTATCATACTACCCTTCCAGAAGGTAAGGCACTAGGAGAGGACCACATGGTTCTAAAAAAAAAGCTCTGTAAACAAAATGGCCTGAAAAATTGCTTATTAATTTTAAATTGTCTGTAGAAGAGAGAAGTACTTTCCTCTGAGATACTGATACTGCTCTTCTCAGTGAGAGATAGAAAAATGCTGTCAAGAAAATCCTTGTTTTAGAACTGTGAAATTCTTTTTCAAATTCTACCTAAAATCAGCAATGATTTTTAGGTAGAGTGTGGTATACTTACACCATTAGCAACCACTGAATAAAAATAACTTGAATAAAAGATGTAAAATATGTATTGAAGAGGCATGGCTGATTCATAGGCATTATGAGAACATATTTTAAAACCCAGAAGTTTTAGAAACTATAAGAATATTACACATCCAGTGCCCTAGCTGCTGGCTTGCTTTTCTATCAGCTTGATCAGTGAAAATCAAAAACCTTGGTTTCATGTTCTTAGCACTGCAGTGTTTGGGATATACCTCTTCACAGGATAATGCTGTAGTTTTTTTGTCAGTAACTTTCCTTCTGGACTTGAAGGGAAAATACGAAATTTGCTTTTACAAAATCTAAGCTATTAACCAGATCAGAGTTAAGAGGAAAGTTTCTGTTGAGAAGTAGTATGTGTGTGTTTGTATGTTGTTTGTCTGGGATGTAGCAGTAGCCTTTGGGTCTGCACATCAGTTTCTTTCTGAGCAATTTAATTGCATGTAAATTAGGTTAGCCTAATAGCATTGTGTTACTGTTCTCACAGCACCATCTGGCCCTCCAGTAGGAGTGAAGGTGACTTTGATAGAGGATGATACTGCTTTGGTTTCCTGGAAGCCACCTGATGGTCCTGAAACAGTTGTTACACGATATACTATCCTCTATGCATCCAGGAAGTCTTGGATTGCTGGGGAATGGCAAGTGTTGCACAGAGAAGGTAAACTAAAATCATAAACGTATGAACTGGACAAATGATGATGCTACTTACAGGATGCTTTGTTACTTTCAGCTCTCTTGGACTACAATAAGAAAGAAATCCATATGTTCACATAAAAGAATTATTCCCATGGTTTTGATGAAAATTATTAAAAAACAATTAATACTCAGAAGGTGAGGGGAGAGGGGCTGTCTGTTGCTTTGGAGATCAGTATGTGCATGTGAACCAAAATATCTCATAAATCTGATTACATTCATCTTAGTTCAGTTGTAACCACGATTATGATGGTTTCGTTTTATAAATACATCCTTTCAAATCTGAAATCTGAGATGCTTTGTTTTCTAGAAATAAATTTATAAATGGCTGTGTGGATTTATATGTTTCTTTCAATCACCACCAATCCAATTAGCTCAGTTTGCTTAATGAACTTTCCCCTACTCCCAGTAAATTGCTCTGCAAGTTCAATATAACTCTCTGGCTCTATTCTAGCCCCAGCTAGCTAATCTTAACAGTAACGCAGGTATGGCAATATGAACTGCAGTCACATCTTTGTGATTAGATGTAGGCATAGTCTAAATTTTTATAGGCACTTCCCAGAATAATACTATGATTTGAAGAGCTGCATCAAGAACAGGTTTCTACTATAGCCAGAAAAAAAAGGCATTTACCGTTCGGCTGGTAGTCAAAATAGATGGGCAGTTCAGAATAGATAAAGTTCTAATAATGTATTAAACCAGAGAGAGAAGCTCAGTGTTACAGAGTAAATTCATGTACTTGAGTAGCTTATTTAAGAAGATTGCCCAGGAAGAGATACTGTTTTGTTGTTCTGTGTGGTTTCATGGCTGAAAGCTTAGCTGTTAGCAGAGAGTGAGGCTTTAAATTTTCTGTGGATAAAATTCATAAAGCATAATGAGAATGCACTCACAGAGGACAATTCACTCCACCATCAGTGAGTGTGAACTCTTTCAGTTCAAAGACTGTGGTTGTTTTTTGTTCTGCTCCTGAAGAGAGGACGAAGAACCAACAGCCATTTTGAGAGGTAGCAGTGCCGCTTTGTCTTCGCCGGGGCAGAATGGTATTTGTCGGGCTGGCCTCAAATGCAGTGGTCAGCTGTGAAGAATAACAGTAAGATGACTATTAATCTTAAGCAAGATCTGTGAAAAATAACTAGTCTCCGAAATATCAGTGAGGTCTAACTATAGGGAGAATATTGAGCCCATGTCTTTTCACTATTAAAATTCTTAAAAGAAACAGCGATACAACGTTGTCCCATTAAATTGTTGAAGTAAACGGTGATGTAATGTTGTCATATTAAAGAACCAATTTAATATTAGTTTTTACTCGCTAAAAACCCCAGCAGATTTAAATTCACAGACAGCTTACAGTTGAGGAATAAATCTTGTCATTCAGATGATGATACGCTGCATTTGTTATATGCAGCAAAGTGGCTGAATTGCTGTCAGGTATATACTCAGCTCAGCCATGGCTGTGAAACTGAACATCATCTCAAATAATATTTTACCATAGATATTTCGGATGAGGGGGATGGCAATAACAGTAAACATTTTTAATGTGTTCCCATGCTGAAAGAGTTGGAGGGAGTGAGCAAATGGAGAGCTACAAATCTCAGTGTATTAATTACTATGTCCATCGATGCTAGAGTCACTAATTTTGTATTTTGACAGCTATATTAGGGTTTGAGGCATGGCATGGAATTTGGAAATCTTGACACGTTAGGATAATCTGTAATGCTCTTAGTTAAAGCACAGATGAAAAAGTCTGTGGAAGAAAATTACTATGTAGAGGTAAGATTGGGCAAATACTAGGATAGTCCTGTGACAGTCCTTTCATAAGTAATATGAGGTAGAAGCAGGTGGTTTTTTTTTAATGCATTTACTCTGATAAGATCACCTCACCCCATGTAATAAATAGCATTTGTTTTGTCTTGACACTAAACTTGTTCTGCAGATTTGTGAAATCTTAACCCCATTCTTTTCCCATACCTCCAAAGACATGCCCCTCCCAAATAAAAAATTCTAAACCCCCACCAGAACAAAACAAAAAAACCACAAACCAACCCTACCACCTATGTAAGTGCTAGCAAAGGCTGTAGTTTATGCATGAAAATTTCTATCAATTCATCACCTAAAAACCAAGATCCTCTAATTTGATTGAGCTTGTGCTAAGCATGGCAGAATTAAAAAATATAACTGCAATTTGTTGCTGATTCATGATGTGAGCTGTCTTCCAGCCACCCTCCCGCCTTTTCCCTAGTTCTCTTCAAGTGGATAAGAAGTTACAGCCTTTACACACTCGGTGTGCAGTAAATCAGTACCAAGTGCTTACTTGCTTTAGCAATGCAGCAGATTTGAGAGGAGCTGGTGGGAAAGAGCCTGTAATATTGAAACATGACCTTTTGCCCTTGCTGGTGCTAAACATTACAGCTCCTTTGGTTACAGATACCTCACATTTTACTTCAAATGCTTTCAGCTAATGGGTGTTTTTTATGGAAGACCTGAAATAGCTTTTGAAGTAGCTTCCCTTTTGCCAAATGTATAATCTTTTCTGTCAACAAAAAAACCTTGTATTTTATACACTCCCATGATACTATAAATTCTGACTTCTGAAACTGATTTGAAAGGTTGAAATTTAGACTTAAGTCTGAGAAAGTAAATGGAATATGTGAAAGAGAACAAGGGATAGATTTGGCCTGCCACTATTTAGGGAGAGAAAAGCAATATATTTCTATGGTAGGAAGAAACACTGGCATTTCAGAAAGAAACTGGAATTTTAAGCAGCAGTCTGCAGTTCCTGGGCAGGCAAAGATCTCACTGACTTTGATAGGAGTTTTGCCTGTCTAAGGACAATGCAAGTGAATCCTATTTATGTTCTTAATCTGTTTTTTTCTGCCTTCAGGGACTTTAGCAAATAAATCCTTAGCATGTGAGAGAGACATTTTCTGTAATATATTTAGTAGCATAGCTTAGATGCACAGTAATCAAGGAAGCCTACACAGGTCTAACTAGGGTTTAATTTTATTTTAAAAGCATGGTACTCTTACAAATCTGTCTTGTTCATTTTACCAACTAGACCTGAAATTTGATAAACTGAACCTGAATTATTTTGTTATGGCAACTTTCATTCACATTCATGGTACAGTGGCTCTAGGAGAGGCGCACAGATTAGTATATGAGAAAGGTCTAACATTCTGCTTTCTCTACCTGTAAGTCTGGTTAATGCTGGGAGGATCTAGTCACAGATATGATCACAACAGAAATGCTATCACAATGAAATGCAGCTAGTGCTAGATTTAGGATTAGTATGCTGTGTATTGTAGCCAATACTTGACTCTTGGTTTTGAACTATATTGGCGCTTCACAGTGTGCTGTGTTCAAGCAGTATGGAGAGAAAGGTTAGAAGGGACAAACAGGCAACCCCAGTGTTCATTCTGTATGCTGTATATGCAGGTTAGAATGTATGAGAATGACCACAGTCCCCAAACAAGATTTGGAGGTGTTATTGGAAGGAAAGCGTAGGTCCCAATGTTTAAATCTCAGTCTGTTCCCACAGATTTTGTCTAACTAGAACTGTTTATCAAATCTTTTCACAGGAGCAATGACCATGGCTTTGCTGGAGAACCTTGTAGCAGGAAATGTCTACTTGGTCAAAATAGCAGCCTCCAATGAAGTGGGAGAAGGACCCTTCTCAAATGCAGTAGAACTTGCTGTCCTGCCAAAGTCAACATCAGAGTCTAATCAGAGACCTAAACGCTTGGATTCCGGAGATTCTACAAGTCAGTAGCAATGTTTTGATTACTGATGTCACAAGTACCAGGAAAAAAGATCCCTGCTTCTTTTAGTTTATAACTGCTTTCTGGGTAAACCATTCTGGTTTATGTGAGGCAGTCCTAACAGTGTAGCATTTTCTCCTACATAAAAGCATCTTGGAATTTTTATCTCAGTTCAACTCAACTGGTTTAATTCTTTCACTCAAAAGTTGGAAATTTGCCTTTCAAATGAGAATACATAACTCTTCTGAATTTTGTATCAGTATCAGCTTTGCAGCTGCTCTTCTAAGACATTTATAAGTCCTTTATTTGGCTTGAGATACCAGTAGTACCGGGCCAGTTAGAACCACACAGCCCAGCAGAGATGAGATGGCATCTCAAATCTGTTGAAATTTTCTGGTTCCTGGTATTCTAGCAACCTAAATCAACCTGCCAGTCAGTGATATACCAGCATATATTTTCACCAAATAAGTCGGTCCCACCTGCAGCTCTTTGGGGAAAATGATCAGTTACCTTGTGGAAATTAAGGCAATATTGGTTCTTTCTCCATATAAGAATGGAAGAACACATTGTCTTTGTCTGACGTAGAACAGGATTCATCCTGGTGACTTGTTACAAATTTTAAAGCTATTTGGGGAGACAAGAGCTAGTAATTATTCAGGTACATGAACCTTTTAATCTTTTCTTGTTTGTATACACTGAATTGTGATTAAAACGTAGGAATTTTTCTTGCTCATGTTTTCTCCCTTCCTGGCATTTGGATATATTTTAGGCCTGAGTAAGCAAATAGCCATGCCCCCAGGATTAGGTTAATAGATATATGATGTCAAAGCACAAACCAAAGTGAATCCTCTTAGGTAACAGTGGCTGGAATTCTCCAAGCCTTGTCCCTTTATTGTCCAGTAGCACCATGTAAGGAAAGGGTTGGAGAGAGCTGCTCTCCAACAGTCCCTTCTCCCCCTCCCACACCAGGACTGCATACACTTCTCTGGTCTACAAGTTTTGTTCTCAAAAGTGTCAACATGTATGACAGAGAAGGTCTGGAAATCTCATTAAAAGGAAGCATTTGTCTCCGTGGTTGTGACTGTCACCCTATTAATTTCCTGACAGGGAGTAGCGGGGTAACTGTTCTAATTTACTGAGTCTTTCTATGTTCTTTTTTGCTATAGCTTATTCTGACTATTACCATCTGGACCAGAAATCAATGACTGGCATTGTTGTTGGGGTTTGCATAGCCTTGACTTGCATCCTTATCTGCATCCTGATCTTAATTTATCGAAGTAAAGCCAGGTATGTTTTTGTTCTTGAAAACTGAGCTCTTTCTCAGTGCATTGATTCTTGGGATGTGCCTTCTCCTCCAAGAATGCTAAGTTCTCGGCAGTACTCTGTCTCTTCACCTATTCCTACCAGCAGTGGAAATAAAGCACTTTGTTGGCTCTTCCTAATCTACCTAAGCCCCTTCTCCAATTAAAAGGAAGAACCCAGAGTGAGTCAGGGGTGCTTTGACAACTAAGTATGAGGCATGTTTCCAAATAAAAAACCCGTTTTGAGTCAGATAAGCATGTTGCTTTACATCATCTGCTCCTCCTGCTTAACCCTCCAGCCTGCCCGGACCTGGTTTGCAAGGCTTTAACCCTCTGGTATTGCTGGACAAGAGGAACTCTGACATAAAGCAGTTTCATGATGCAATCTCTTCACAGTGGTGCAAGCTACCGTGTCTACCTTGTCATCAGCTGCTATGGGACGTAAACTGGCCCAGTGACTCTGCCCATAACTTTGGGATTGGAACAAATACAAGTTACTTGAAATAATAAATTTAAAAACTGTCTGAAAGTATATTTTAGTAACAAGTGTACATGCAGGAAAAAATAGGATTGGGAGACAGTCTCTGTGTAGCATGGTAGAAAGGTCTTGGTATCATTAATGCTTACTTCCTCCAAGTAATATTATTAATTATGACAATTCCTGTCTGCACGTAAGCTTGTAGCCTACTGTGTATGATTAACTGGAAGCAGATGTTATTTTTATCACAAGCAATAACATTTAAATTCCATGAGAGTTAGGAGTATCATATAACAAAATGTAAATGCCAAGAATATTACTTGATTAATAATAGCTTTGAAGTTTATCCTTGATTTTTAAATATTTTCTTCCTGTGGATCAATTTTATTTCTGCTTAACACTGTGTAGGAAAACATCTGCTCCTAAACCTGGGCAGCAAAGCACTGACCAGCTGTCACATAACAGCATCTCATTAGCCAGCGCTAATGAGGTGGAGAAGAGTATTGAAGGAATTGCACAGAATGAAGAATCCTTATTGCCAATGATGGTGGGAAACAGCTTCCTCGATGCTAAGGTACGGTGAGCTTTACTCACTCCCCAAACAGAAATCTTTGTTTAGAATTCACTGCTATAACATCAGAGTCCTTATCAAAAGCAAAATATGTACACTGCAAATCCACAGCAGGTTTTTTAATAGGACAAGCACGAGTTTGGCAACCCAGGAGCAGATTTTCAAGACTTATCTTAAAGTTTAGCTAGAGATCCAATTCAATACACTTGTCTTACACTATACTCTGCAGATTGCAGAGTTTGACTCTGGCACAGTATCAAAGGATAAAAGCTTCAAAGACTTAGGGCTGCTAGGTGGCCTCTGCTAATCCAAGGAGATAGGTGAGAGTCCTTGTCAGCAGTGACTTCTGTAAGTGCCTGTGCACTATCTAGTCAAGTATGACACTAAGCAGGTATGAAAGAAAATACTATTTTTTTGTATATTTACTGGTAAGACAATGTTACATTTTATAAACTCATATTTGGTCAAATTATAAATTAATCTAGATGGCAGGATGTATCAGTGGATGTGTAGAATCTTACAGTGCAGGAGTCCAGTGTGACAAAACCACATTGGCCTTACTTCCACATGCAGACGTACTGATTTAAGGCTTGTTCTGTACACACTGCAAACTTGAATGGAGCTGCTCCTTGAGGATACGCGCAAGAGCTGGGAAGTGGAAATGGATCCCAGTAGAGGCACAGACACTGTGGCTATGAATGGTCCCATTCAATGTAGTAGAGCAAGAGCAGTGGCTGGAATATTTTGCTGTGTGTTTTCAGTATTCTAGCTGTTGCATCTGGCCTATGGGCTTGCCTGATTTAGTGGATCTGGTCTTGACTTGTCTCGAGCAGAAGATGAATACTGGACCGCAAAAATGTAACCGAGCACTAAGACTTCATTTGTCTTCCATTTCAGTATGGAGCTAATAGGTAGGAATAGAAAAATATTTTCAAATATCTTAGAAATTTAGTTTGTTAAAATAAATGTCTGTGTGTCTTCCTCTATTGTAGGGGGGATCTGATCTGATTATTAACAGCTATGGGCCTGTCACAAAGGCTAACTGCAAGAAAAGGTGGCTGTTCTTCCAAGATACGAAGAAGAAGACTGAGGAGGTAGTTGGTCTAATGGGCAGAGATGTGCAGTCTTTAATACCCTGTATTTGCAAAACAAGATATGTAGTTTTTTAGTTATGGAAAAGCATAATTAATGGTCTAAGTTTTTAATTGGATAGTTTCAGTTGTGTTAAGGTTGATGGTGTTCTATCACGCAGTGAAGTCTTACGGAAGGTGAATTTTCTATCCCAAGTTGTCAGATGTTGTAACTCTTTACAGTTAACTGATAACTTAGTTGCCTGTGCCCTTTTATCTGTGAGCAAAAGGATTTCTATGTACTGGGTCTGTACATAGCATCTACAGAGACTTTGTATAACTATAAATAGAATATGTATTTATAAATTAAAATAATATTAAAAACATAAACAATCCCCTCCTACTCTGACAGCTAAAACTTTGTTTGCTGAAGAGAAACCAAGAGAGGGTAATTGATTTATCCAAACTACTGAAGAAACTGTGAATCTGAGTAGACCTGTCTGGCTTCTGAAATTGTTGCTCTGGACACATTTGCTATTTGGATAAGAAAAATAACAGTTTAAAACTGAAGTGTTAAACCAAATCCTGAACATTATTGTGCAAATTCACATCTATAGGGCATCTAACTAATATTTATTGAACTGTAGCATGTATTGTGGTCTCCTATGTTTAAAGAATAGGAAATCTTTATATCTGTATTGTGAAGTAGTATTCTAAAATATTTCCAGAAGCAGCTGCATGTTTCTGATGCCTCTATAAGAAAAACATTTGCTACCACCCAAGGAATAATGCTGAAAGAATATGCACAAAGGGATGGTAGAGATCTCTACCAAGTATGTTTTTAAAATATCATTCAGGTCTCTCCAGTGAAATTATTCTTGATTAGCCATGCTTAGCTAGAAGGGATTATTTCATCTATCATGGAAAAGTATGAGCAAGACTTGAGAGTGATTCTTTTTAACCTCCTGTAGGAAAGCCCAGATAGTTCCGAGCCAATGCTGTTAGCGCCACTCTAGCGGAATAGGAGATAGGAAATGTAATAAAAATTAAAATTGTGGCTCAGCTTTTCAGACACTGAACAACCTTTTTCTCTTTGCTTTTTATGTAACCTCAGAGAAGATTTGTCCAGGCGATGTGTCTGTATCAGCCAGGCACCACTGTGCTGATCAGTGAGGATGAGTCCCCCAGCTCTCCTGGCCAGCAGTCTAATTTCCAGGTGCCGTTCAGTATTGTTGCTGATACGGAGCATTCAGCCAACAGCGAAGGAAGCCATGAGACTGGTGACTCCGGAAGATTTTCTCACGAGTCCAACGATGAGATACACCTCTCCTCTGTGACAAGTGCCACGCCTCCCCCTACCAGTCCTTTTGTAAGCAGTGACTTGAGTACGAACATGATGAGCCCTGCCAGAAGTAACTGCACAGAGTCTCCTCTGCCGTTCCCTACTGACCAGACTCCTACCTTGCCTCTTCAGATCCACTCTGCGGCACAAAACTGACATCCTTGGGGCCACGTCAGACATTCTCGCAGTGTATGTCTGTTCGAAGGACAATGAACAGGGAGCCAAAGTTTTATATTGTGGAAAGCCTGACTAACCTAGCAGGTGATCCCATATTTCTGTTGAATGTTTTTTTCTTTGTTTTGTTTTGTTTGTTTTAAAAACTCACTCATTTTGAATGTTCAGTGCTCAACAAATGTGAAAGGACAGTGAAGATTTCTGACTAAAGTTAAAAATGTCACTGGAGCAAAGGGAAGTCTGTTGGCCCTTTTGCTGACTATCTACCTCAGTTTGCCGAGAGGTGAACTCTGAATGACGATTGCTTTACCTCATTTGTGTTCTAGTTGGTCTCAGCTATGGAACTGATGATACTTCCTAGTAGTGTTGTTTTATTTTGTGTTTTTTTTCATTTGTTTTCACTTTTGTAGAATGTGTGTGTGTGTGTGTGTGTGCGCACGCACGTGTGTGCGTTCAGTGATCAGGGAGTTGTATAGGTAGGTGAACAAGATTGTTTAGCTGAAGCTCTGTCTTTGAAAAGAAGGAAACCTCAGAGTCTAAAATGTAATGATTTAATGTGGTTGACATAGAGGATGTTAAAAACTGGGAAAATTGGAGTTTGTGCTTCCACATACACAGCCACATGAAATCTTTTGTACCTCTTGATTTCTCATAACCCCTGTAAGCCTAGGGCAGTGCCTTTTCCCCAGAAACTTGTGCCAGCAACTGCTGAGAGGATGTATCCTGTATCCTTAGGGCTCTGGGACACGTTGGGTTCCCCACAGTGACCAGTGTTGCCCCTTTATTGACAGTTAATGCTAAAAAGCATGGCAAAATAAAGAAGTATTCAGCATTTCAAACAGTTTGGCTCTGCCTGGGGGTCATGGAATAGATAATGCTGAGTATTCCAGTGTCACAGTACTTCTTAACAATGGTGCCTTGCATTATATAAAACTACTGATTTGCCTTACGCCTTTTTAGTATTCATGAAGTTGCTTTGGAGTACAGAAAGATGCCTTAAATTCTTCTTAGATGTTCTAAGTAAACTGTATCATGAATTTATTGTTCATTTTTACCCAGCTTGAGTGCTGATAAGCACTGCTAGTATCGTAGTATGTCTCAGAGCTGTTGTTAGGATGCAACCCTGCTCCTTGCCTTTGCCTAGTGTGCTGTTAGCCAGGAATTTTAGCTCAGGGAGTGACTTTACCCACATGCCAATCTAAAACTCTGACTAGGCTACCATGAGAAATAAAAGCCAGAGCTTTAGTTGAAGAGTCTGTTGAAAGAGGTGAGTACTGCTACTGCCTTGAACCCATGCAATTCCTGTTTTATACTACCTCCTTAAAAGTTATTCTAGTGGTTTTTTGGGTTTTTTTGTTGTTGTTGTTTTTTCCTGTACTCAGGGAACAATTTGTTACTTTTGAGCTGCCTCACAGAAACGTGGAGCAAAATGACAGGGTATCATGTTTTGTTTTTTAATAGGAGAAAGGGAGAGAGAGGGAGGAGGTTGGAATCATCCAATGTTATAAACTTGCCTGTATCTGTATCCAGTCCTCCTCTTTACTCCTGATCTTTCTCTGTTTTACTTAAAAAAAAAAAAAAAAAAAAAAAAATTAGGCATATGTTTTTAAAAAAAGAAATGTTTAAAATGTAATGTTGTGAGAAAGCAACCGTAGGAACTCCTGGCTTTATTTAAGTCTGTCAGAACTCCCACTGACCTTACTGGGGCCAAGATGTCACACTTCAACATAGGCCAGGCTGACTTTTGAATTGTTCCTCATGTATCAAAAGGTGCTCAGAAGTCATCAGTAAGCCCTACTGTTCTGTCTGCTTTGTGTTGGTGAATCGGCCTCTAGTTATTATAGTTCTCACCTTGTAACTGTTTGCTAGTTCTGAACCAGACAGTACACATTCACCTTTTCATAACAGTGTTGATTCAAATGCTTTAAAATAATCTTGTACCAAAGATTTTCTGTAGAAGAGAAGGAAGCCACATATTGTCCAAAAATAATTGAAGTAGTTAAGAGCTATAGGTTTGAAGAGCTGACTACATTTTACCATATAAGTAGTTACTAACAAAAAACAATAGGGCTTCTTGATTGTAGTAATTGATAGCATAGATGAATTGTATGCTTCTACAATTTTAACTACCTTGTTGTTACAAGAGCCTTTAAAGAAAGTTATAATAATACCAGCAGATATCTCCAAAGACTTCCAAGTGTAATTTTTTTCTCCAGCATGTAGTTGATCAACAATACAGTATTAAAAAAATTATTTTTGAACAGTTGTTTATCTACTTGCTGAAGAAAAACAAAACTTTTTCACCAAAGATTTATTTTTGGTCTTGTCAGGCAGAATGTTTAGTGTACAGCAGAGTACTGTTTCTAGTTAGGTAAAGTGTGAGTTAATCAAAACTAGATTAAGAATGTGTAACTGTAGCATGAAGTTTCACACTTCATCTTTCAGAGTAGCCTCTTTTGTTAGTTTCATTCAGAAAGAGCTGATATGCAGATGGTAACTGTTTGCTTTTCCAAAGATTTGTTTGCTGTAAGTACTGATAATGGGATGTAATTTATGACCTTCATTACAGGTAAATACTTTAAATCCTAAACTTTTCTTCCAGAGACCAACTCTGTAGTTTAACCCATGGATAATTTGACAGAAACATACTTCATATAAAATTTATCAGTTTAATATAGATGCTCTAACTTCAGTGGCCAAAGAGTTGAAAATATTCAGTGTATTAGAGAGCAGCACATCCAGAAAACTCTATTTATGACTTAATGTTTTATTACGGTACTTTTTATCAGCAAATAAAAACAAACCAAAGATATTTAAGGTTACCTCAGCATATAGGCAAGCTTAGTTAGACATTAATTATTCTTTTTCTTTATTTTTATGTTAACCAAATATAATACATTTCTCCAGAACCCAGTCTACATTCATGTGCTTCCCTTTATTTTGTCACAGTCATGATTACTACAGAACAAAAAATATGTTCTAAAAATTCACGGCCTATTACTAATATATCACAACATTTTTCAAGAGAAAATTCGTCTTATGATTGAACACTCCACCAATGTAAGCAAAGGAATCTCCAGAAAAACTGAGTAGAAATTGATACTTTCTCCACTGAACTCAATAGCAGAATCAATCCTGCATGAGTGTAGCAGTGCAAAATTGGGCTCAAAGTTTAAATGCTTCATATGCTTGAAGCCAACACATGTAATTATAGATATGATACTAGAGATACTAATTTTCTTAAAAGTTTATGCCTGTGGCTCTCTAAGGAAATCAGTTTTTCATATGTAAACTTTGTTCATTACATTTGCCTAGAAGGAGCTGGCAGAACACTGCAGGCAGGATGGTTTCAGGTTTTCCAATATTTTTTTTTTCTTGGTTATGTCTATAGAAACTGGGTCCTGGAGAAAACAAAAATCATCTTTTAATTATGAATTTTACTAAATATGTTCTGAAAGATGAACATAAATGTGGAATTTAGTGTTACACTATGTGAATTGATTTTGTTGAAGTGTATTAAGAACTAAGGAGCCGTGGCTGGTGTAATGAGTGTATATGCAACCATTGTACTTTAAAAAGAAAGCAAAAATGTTACAGTTGATGTCACTTGAAAAGCATCAAAAGATATAGAGGAAATCTTGGAACTGGCTCACCATGCTAATTGTGTTTCCAAGTGAGGACTCTGCCCTTCAATTACAACAGCAGTGCCTGTTCTGCAGGACCTGGATCCAAAGTGAAATGCTGAATCTGCCCACAGTTACACTTGTGTACTTTCTTCATATTTAACAAATAACTCCTGAAAGATGAGAATACTTTTTATCTAGGAGAAATTGGGAATGTGTATGCTGTGTAGACCAGGACCTATCAGTTGATTTTTTTAATAACTCTGCTTTTGTAAGAGAAACTTGAAAAATCTACATATCATTTCTAATAATTTCCTATACTAGCTGTGGATTTTGTGTAACTCATGAGATTTTAACAGAAAAGTGTATCGAGAGGTTTCTTTACCTATTTTTAATTATTCTTTCTAGTTCATTGCCTCTTTGGTTTTATTCCCTTGTTTTAGACTGTGAGCTAAATCTTGTTTGCCATAGATCAGGATCCTCATCCTGTTTCTTTACAAGTCAGTGGGAGAATTAATTTTATTTCGGTTTGCATGGTCCAGAGAGACAAAATCAGACTTTTTGTTGTTTGGTTGGTTTTTAATTCTTCGCAGTATTACTGTTTTTAAAGGACAGAATTCTTACAGGGTTAAAACTCCCATTGGCAAATTGATTTTTGTAAGATAACAAATTCCTGTGCATCAGAGGTCCACTGTAACTCTCCATGCATCCAGTCTTAGCCTGTAGTAAATACTGAGTATTTCAAGTCAGTTTACTTTTTTTTTTTCATTACAAACTAAGTCAACTTGAATGATTTACCTTTTGCTGCAAACTGAGTGCACATGAGCATAGTTAGCATGAATTGCTGGGTCTCAGTAACATGTTACTCTGAGCAAACTTGTAAGCCCCAAGACCAGGAACTCCTGCTCATTTTATCTGTTGCAGAATGAAGTTCATGCATGGCAAAGTCCATCTCCTAACAGGGAAAATTTTGGTAGGGTTTGTAGGGCATTCCATGTTTAGCCAAAAATCTCATTCACATCAACTGAGGAGAGCTGCACAGGTGTAACTCTGGTGGTAGTTCACAGAAACCAATTTCCTGAAATTATTCTGGTAAAATTGAAAGCAGAATGACACCTAGTAGTTGCTAAAGAGGTAGTTCTTACCTTGAACAATTGTTACACACTTACTAGTTGCTGCAACTGCAGGTTTGCTAATAGCAAGCAATTTCTAAAGCAGAGGAATTTGTCTGTCTACAGGAAATACTGAGCGCCTTTCTGTAATTACATAAGCTAAAAATATATTATTTATCTAACTGTATGTTTTGGAACGTGTGTTTCAAAAAAATAGTATTTTTCAATACAAGTCCAAAACCAAATCGTGTTCTGTTATAAAGGACCCTATGAAAAGAACACAAATTCAATTTGGCTCAAATGTGAGTAAGTTTATATCTTTGGAATTCCTTTAGATTTACACTGAGACTGGTTCTAATTGACTCCAAAGGGATGTAAACACATGCATAAGGCTTTGCTGTGTTGGGCC